AGTCGAACAACCAGCCCAGAGCGACCGAGAAGACCCAGCAGAAAACGCAACCTCCGTTCTCATTTCTCACCCGTAGAGCCTGCCCTGACGGCGACGATGGTGCGATTGGAGTTGAAGGTGAAAAGGAGCCCCGACCCCTCCTCGAGGTGAATCTGCACGAAGTTCCCCAAGTCGTCGTCCGCGTACAGCAGCAGCGCCGTCCTCTGATGCGTCCTGAAGGCGAACTGGATGTCGCCCGTGAAGATCCTCCGCCACGCCGCCTTCGCCTTCGCGTCGTCCGCCTCCGTCCACAGGGAGCGGTGGTGCGCCTCGGGCGTCCCGAACGTCACGGCGTCCGCGTTTAGGTCTGCGGTCGGGATTCGTTGAGACAGGCATTAGAATGTCTCTCAGAATTTAGTGCTTTGTGGTGCTTCTGGAGGCTGAGAACTTCCCCCCCCCCTTATTTGTCCAGTAATTCTTCACGTTGCTAATTCACTTTAAATGAAGTAAAGTATCGTTTGCCAATGATGGAATTGTAAGACTCGTGAAACACCTCACTGACGTGTACTTTCAAGACGCCGTTTCCCCGTTCGGTCTCATCTTACGACCTTCGAGCTTTTATCAAGATTTAAAAAAAAAACTACCAACAGTTGTTGCACCAAATTTAACTCAAACAATCCAATATCTTCCAGTGCTGCTTACTGGCGAGGAGTATTAACAATGTTCATGTTCGCGCTAATAATAAAAAATGAACTTTATACAGGTACATTTGTCATTTAATCTGGTATAATTTACGCCTCCATATCATTAAATGTAAAAACATATCGATATCGGGGAACTGACTGTTTTCGCAGTTTTTCCCGAAGTGCGCGACCGGATTGAGGCACTTGCACTCGTGCGACCCCCACCTCTCCACGCAGACGGCGCCGTTCTGGCAGGGGGAGGAGGCGCAGGAGGCGCGGCAGCCGGGGAGGATGTCGAGGTGGGACTGGGTGGCGTGGCGGCGGGGGTTCAGGCGATCGCCGTTCAGGGTGAGGTCGCCGAGGCAGCCGAGGAAGCCGGGGAGGAGGAGGTGGGGCTCCAGCACGCTGCTGTCGGGGGAAGTGCGGTTTAGTTCGGGGGAAACAATTCATTCCTGATTTTT